CTGTTGGAACGCATCATTGTTGTGGTTACTTGGGATTTGTTGAGCATTGGGATCATTAATATTTTGCGATTGGAGCTTTTCCCCCTAGACAGGTCGTAACCCCGATTAGAGCATAGAAATTAGAAATATTCCTGCCATCACTCCTCTGAAAGCTGTAGATAAAATTCTAAGTGGAAATATTATGGACAAATCAAAGTTTCCCATCACAAATTAGACAGCAGCTCTATACAGGTGCTGGTCATAAAATTAGAATATCATGAAAAAGTAGATTGATTTCAGTAATTCCATTTAAAAAGTGAAACTTGTATATTATATTCATACATTACATACAAACTCATATATTTCAGATGTTTATTTTGTTTAATTTTGATGATTACAAATGACAACAAATGAAAATCTCAAATTCATCATATCAGAAAATTAGAATATTACTGAAGACCAATAAAAACAAAGGATTTATAGAAATGTTGGCCAACTGAAAAGTATGAACATGAAAAGTATGAGCATGTACAGCACTCAGTATTTAGTTGGGCCTCCTTTGGCCTGTATTACTGCAGCAATGCGGCGTGGCATGGAGTCGATCAGTCTGTGGCACTGCTCAGGTGTTATGATAGCCCAGGTTGCTCTAATAGTGGCTTTTAGCTCTTCTGAATTGTTGGGTCTGGTGTATTGCATCTTCTTCTTCACAATACCCCATAGATTTTCTATGGGGTTAAGGTCAGGAGAGTTTGCTGGCCAATTAAGAACAGGGATACCATGGTCCTTCAACCAGGTACTGGTAGCTTTGGCACTGTGTGCAGGTGCCAAGTCCTGTTGGAAAATGAAATCTGCATCTCCAAAAAGTTGATCAGCTGCAGGAAGCATGAAGTGCTCTAAAACTTCCTGGTATGTGGCTGCGTTGACCCTGGACCTCAGAAAACACAATGGACCAACACCAGCAGATGACATGGCACCCCAAACCATCACTGACTGTGGAAACTTTACACTGGACTTCAAGCAACGTGGATGAAGTGCCTCTCTTCTTTTCCTCCAGACTCTGGGACCTTGATTTCCAAAGGAAATGCAAAATTTACTTTCATCAGAGAACATGACTTTGGACCACTCACCAGCAGTCCAGTCCTGTTTCTCTTTAGCCCAGGCAAGACGCTTCTGACGCTGTCTGTGGTTCAAGAGTGGCTTGACACAAGGAATGCGACAGCAGAAACCCATGTCTTTCATACGTCTGTGTGTGGTGGTTCTTGAAGCACTCACTCCAGCTGCAGTCCACTCTTTGTGAATCTCCCCCACATTTTTGAATGGGTTTTGTTTCACAATCCTCTCCAGGGTGCGGATATCTCTCTTGCTTGTACACTTTTTTCGACCACATCTTTTCCTTCCCTTCGCCTCTCTATTAATGTGCTTGGACACTGAGCTCTGTGAACAGCCAGCCTCTTTAGCGATGACCTTTTGTGTCTTGCCCTCCTTGTGCAAGGTGTCGATGGTCGTCTTTTGGACAACTGTCAAGTCAGCAGTCTTCCCCATGATTGTGTAGCCTATAGAACTAGACTGAAAGACCATTTAAAGGCTTTTGCAGGTGGTTTGAGTTAATTAGCTGATTAGAGTGTGGCACCAGGGGCCATCAATTTTGAACCTTTTCACAATATTCTAATTTTCTGATATGATGAATTTGAGATTTTCATTTGTTGTCATTTGTAATCATCAAAATTAAACAAAATAAACATCTGAAATATATGAGTTTGTATGTAATGTATGAATATAATATACAAGTTTCACTTTTTAAATAGAATTACTGAAATCAATCTACTTTTTCATGATATTCTAATTTTATGACCAGCACCTGTATTATGCATTGAACTAAGAGACTGCAGGTGTTTTTTTCTTATTTGAAATGTAAATTGTCTTATTCCATTGCTAAAGTGTCTCACTTGCCTGATATATATAAAAAAAATGCACTAAATTTAAGAAAAAATGGCTTACTTAGATATTTTTGTTTTTTGCAGTGTAGTGACAGTGGAGAAAACCCCCATTCGATTTTAACAGGAAAAAAACAGGCTCAGTATGAACAGCCATCTGCTGAAGGAGACATACATACAGAAAGAAGCAGAGATACAAAAGGCAACTGTCAACCAGCTCCACAGGCGGCCCCGTCCAGGAAACACACAGTCAGGCAGAAGAGCCCTTAGCCAGCTCCCATGTCAGAGGATGAAAGGGAGCAGATACAGTTAGTCAGAGATGGCAAAAGTACTGACTTTCCGTACTTGAGTAAAAGTACAGATACTTGTGTTAAAAAATACTCTGGTAAAAGTGGAAGTACTGATTAAACTTCTTTACTCAAGTAAAAGTAACAAAGTACAGGCTTGTAAATTTACTTAAAGTATAAAAGTAAAAGTAGAAACCACTTTTTTCATGCCGTTGCCTACATTTTAAATGGATGTCTGCCAATAGGACTAGATCTCCGTTGTATTCATTTTCAATCATCTCGTCGTCCATACTGCTATGCTAACGCCACCGCCACCAAGCTGCAATGATTTGCCGCGAATGAATACCGCCGAATCTGTCGATTCATCTTGTAGTGGTGCGTCAAATGCAACGTAGATTCCCATCCAATTAGACTGAATTTGGTATTGATGACGTGAAAAATAATCACGGTAACTCCATTGAAATGATTCAAAACTAAAGTAACGAGCCAATTTTTTAAAATGTAAGGAGTAGAAAGTACAGATATTTGTGTAAAAATGTAAGGAGTAGAAGTAAAAAGTCGCCATAAAAATAAGTAGTAAAGTAAAGTAAAAACATCAGAAAAATCTACTTGAGTACAGTAACGAAGTATTTGTACTTTGTTACTTCCCATCTCTGCAGTTAGTCACAGTCAGAGAAACAGGACTACACTGGAAAACAGGCCAATCTCCAGCATCTATAAACAATGGTGTTGATGGCGGCAGCACAGCAAATTTTTCCCTCCAGGATGGAGTCACAGCCAAACATGAACAGACCAGATGAAGCTACAATGAGAAAAAGCAGAGATAATATAACATTAGATATTGAACTAACAAATTCTAGACAAATGGGGGGCAGAGATAGAATGAAGCAGAATGATGAAAAGGGGTCCCTATGTCCTCCAGCAGTCTAGGCCTATAGCAGCAGAACTATAGAGATAGCTCAGGATAACTTGAGCCACTCTAACTATAAGCTTTATCAAAAAGGAAAGTTTTAAGCCTAGCCTTAAAAGTAGACAGGGTGTCTTCCTCACGGACTAAAACTGGTAGTTGGTTCCACAGGAGAGGAGCCTGATAACTAAAAGATCTGCCTCCCATTCTACTTTTAGAATGGGACCACTAATAAACCACTAATAAACCTGCAGATTGAGAGCAAAGTGCTCTGTTAGGAACATAAGGAACAATCAGATCTCTGATATAAGATGGACTTTTGCCATTTAAAGTTGTAATTGTGGGAAGATGGATTTTAAATTCTATACTGGATTTAAAAGGAAGCCAATGAAGAGAAGCCAGGATAGGAGAGATATGATCTCTCTTTTTAATTTTCATCAAAACTCTGGCTGCAGCATTTTGGATCAGCTGAAGGCTTTTAACTACAGTTTGTGGACTTCCTGATAGTAAAGAATTACAATAGTCCAGCCAAGAAGTAACAAATGCATGGACTAGTTTCTCAACATCACCCCCGGAAAGGAATATTCTGCAGATGAAAGATGGAAATTCTAGAAACCTCTTTGATATGGGATTTAAATGATATAGCTGAGCAGCATCAGCATAACAGTGGAAATTAATCCCATGCTGTCTAATAATTCTACCAGTTGGGAGCATATATATATAGTAAAGAGACTAGAGAATGTTCAAACAATCAGACTCAAGAAAAACAAGGTATAGAAGAGATACGGCAGGAAATAGGTTATCGGGTAGTCAAGAACTAGATTAGGTTATTAAACAACATCTCAAGCTTTGAACATCTCACAGACCTCAGGTTAAACCATCATTTTAAAAATGTGAAAGTAATATTAAAGTGGTAATTTAGCCTTTCCATTCATCTCTGCTAGAGTAGAGTATCGAGAAGTCACAAGACAGGAGGAGTCATTGTCTGGAGTTGTGGATCCTGGTGCATCACAGTAAAATGAAAAAATAAGTTTTTTTTGTATATTTATATATATATATATATATATATATATATATATATATATATATATATATATATATATATATATATATATATATATATATATATATATATATATATATATATATATATATATATATATATATATTTTTTTTTTTTTTTTTTAAAGGGAAAATGTAAAAAAATAATAATGATAATAATAAAAAAAGAAAAAAAGTGCCCTGTAGTTAGGTTTGTTTTAGAAGCAGTAATTTTAGTACACCTAACTAATGAGTAACTCATGTCTATTGGGGTAGAGGACAAACATGGAAATGTTGTTTTCATGGATTTTTGTGGCACCAAAGCAGCAAGAGAGATGGACTTTAGCCTCTAACCCACTGATATCACAACATCCGTAGAAAGCTCAGTACATTAATTTGACCTGAACTGACTCCAAGCTGCCATCAACAGCTTTGTAGGTCGACTGATGTTCTGAAGTATTGACCAGTGGGTAATTATAGCAAAAAAAAATCTATGGATTTCTACACCAAAAATAGAGCACATACACATTCACAAAATCAAGTTGGGGCTTTTTTTAAATCATGGCACATTTTGAACCCCTCCCTAAAATCAACCAAACCAGGAGATCCTGGAAGAATCAGCTTCCCTGCCCATCCTTTCCCACAGTTAATCGAACGGTCAACCAGCAGGAATTACTGTCGTTCCAATGCTGTAGATGACAGACAGAGAGGAATATAAATGGACGGGAAAAGAAAGGACTTTCTAAGCAAAGGTCTGGAAATTCAGGTCACTTCTTCAAAGAGGACAATTCCAGAAGCTATCAAAGATTCTGTGGGAAAAACCTGCAAAGCATTTTGAGTGAACTGAAGTTCACCAGCAGCAGGTGTTATACACAGGGTCAGCTTCAGCTCCAGGCTTATCGCCCGATACAATGTGAGCACTGGATTGCGACAGAGGGGTGTTACACCAGCACCAGGTAAGGGGAACCAAAGTTTCAAAGGCGTGTCTGGCTTATCAAAGAGACGGAAATGTTCCAAGAGGGATGTGAGGGCGAAATCATCACACCTTCTTATGATGCCTTCCAACCTTTCTGCCCCGTATGCAAACGAGGCAGCACTTTAAAACCCTGACACAGGTGAGCTCTGCACCACTCAAGCATGGACTCCTTAGGCCTGCCACAGGTGAGCAGAGAGATTTTATATCTTCATGACATGAACAAGGCTCAGGAAATAATGCGTAAAACAAGAAAATCTAACATATTTCTTTATTTTGAATTACAAAAACAAAATCCCTTCTAAAAATGTTGCTTTTAGAAATGAATATTAGATATTCCCCAATGTTGTATTTAACTTTTGCATGATAGCCAACGGACTGCTGACATTCAGCACATAAAACTCTTAGTTATTTATTGAAAAGCGCTTTTTTATACAAAGAAATTTAACAGTAATTTAATAACTAACGAGAACATTCCTAGCAGACTGAAGAGATGTGTTATCAAAGAGCAGATTTATGAAAAAAATGTCTTTTAGTCATAAATGCTGAGGGGATTGGTCGATCATTTGTTGCTATTCTTGTGTGAATGGAATTTCAAAGCATGTGACCCAGATCAATAAGGTGGCATGTGATGAGCGGTGTGCTTGTGTGCATGTGTGGATGGCTGTTAGTACGACCAGTACATCTCACCAACAGATGCCGTATTTTGGCTAGAGGATACGGTTACATATGTCATGAAAAACAGGAGCACCACCTGCAGCCTGCAGTACAAAATAACTGTAGATTATTAATCAGTGGTCGAGGTCTATAAAAGATGTGAGAGGATTGAGTAAGCAATGAGCGATTTGCCTTTTTAAAACACTTTTTTCAAAAAAGCATAGATTTTAGTATATGTAACTCAAGTATGATATGTATACCTTTTTATTACGGTTCTTCTTTTTCAGTCATCTGACTCAAAGAACAACATAGAGCAAGGCGAAGATGAGCAAAAAGAAGAGAAAATCAGAGGTTTGGAATAATTTTTTGTAGACTTTTGACACATAGTAAGCTTATTGTTGGAGACGATTTATTTATTGTGGACTTGAACATGTTGTAGATCTTAAAGCAAGCCCAGCACACTCCACTCTGGCTTTGGTGGAGCCAGGCTCAAAGGACACAGACCCCTGGGACCTCCCTGAGCTAAAAGACACTGGGGTCCCATGGTCAGGTAAAACTGCCTTTTAAACTGTATGACACAGCTCAACCTTTTGCCAAATCTCTCTAAAAGCTGTTTTTATAGTTTGCTGGAATCTTTGCTGGTTCCTCAGTAGTAACAGCAGTAACAAAGCAGGATTTGTAGGCTGCAACTGATTTAATAAGAGACCAATATTAGGCAGCTAAGTAAGTGTCATATTTAGGTGAGTTTTTTTTAAGTCTGTTTTACACTAATGTACCCACATAACATGATGCTGCCTCCTCTGTACTTCATGGTTGAGGTGAAATTCTCAGGTTCCCACTGCTTTTCCTTCACTACAATGATTGTAATAGCCAAACACAATTTTAGATTCATCACTCTACAAAAAAATTAGATAATCTGTTTTTTTTTTATGTAACATTTGAAGTGGTACTACTAGTGGTAATACTTCTGTGTGGCGGAGTGGCTTCACTGAGCAAATAGACTCACAGTTGATATTAAAGCTCTCCTAACAGTTTCAGCCAGCTTTTTAGTAGAATAGAAGAGAATTAAACTTTATTGTCATTCCACTGTCACAAATACAGAGCAAAAAAAATGTATTCTCTGCATTCAACCCACCCCTTTGGGGAGCAGTGGGCTGCCATTGTGTGGCACCCAGGGAGCAGTGTGGGGTTAAGGTTCTTGCTCAGGGAGCCAGAGTGGCAGTCTGTGGGAGTCGGCTTGAACTCAGAACCACTGAGATCTAAGCCCAATGCCTCAACCACTAGTCCACTCCCTCCCCCCTACAAGCTACCCATCCTCCATACAATTAATGCAATTAGCTCCAAATAAGTTCAAATCTGGAACACAGGTCCCATTTTCACTCTGAACAGAATGACTGCAAGACAGTCTGTTGAGTTTAACTGCTTTATAATTGTTTTTGAACTGACATTTGTTGCAGCTTCTCACACATGGAAGCTGTGCCCATGGAGAAACCAGACAAATAAAAGACCACTACTTCTCTCCTGATTTACTTTAGTTTCCAAAGAAACGTTTGATTCCAAAACATTTGGTAGTCCTTGAAAGTTTTATTGTCAGAATGCAAAAATATAGTGTATGTGCTTTAACATTTACCATGCAGTCATTGACTACCCATTAAAGTATCCTTAGAACTACTCTGGGGTCTCTAAAGGTTTCCCTTGGTTCCTTTAGTAATGTATAATTATGACCTGAGCATACAAATGGAGTAAGTGTGGATTTTATAGAATTACAAAAAGGAACAAAGTTTTTTTTGTTCTTTACACCAGCACCTACAGAGAAATAAACTGAGCTTTGACCTAATTCATTCATAGATGTGATAAAATATATGATCGAGGCAATTAAGAGAAACTGCTGAGTGGGAGAGAAGGCCAAAGTAACGATAAAGGCTCATCCAGGTTGTGTATGTCATCAGATATTTTTATTCTTAGTGCTACATGAATTTAAAAGAGTATATTTTCTAATACTATATAAAAAAAATATAGCATTTCCCATTTGATTTTGGCCACTTGTGTATAATTTTAAAGGTATAGAGGAGGATTTTTGCAAATGTTTGGCCCTCTCCACTATAAAAAAAGTTCACACGCACTACCCTGTACCCGCTCCCAAGAGGGGACGCTTATTAAACGCCATTTTCCCTTGTGCGTGCTCTGTTTAAAAGTTGCTGTTTGCATCGCTCATACAAACTTACTTTGCAAAAGATTTGAAATTTTTCTACTATGTCAGACTCACAACTGGTATGTTAAAATTGGCACGCAGGACAGCGTTACATAAACATGTCACCAGAATGATTTCCAATTAGGAGGATTACTTATTTTGATGATCCACCCAGAACCTCCTCAACTAGTTTTATTAGGTCTGCAACTAACAATTTTGCTCATCAATGAATCTGTTGATTCATTTTCCTATTAGTAATCGGATAGCAAAAGGTTCCTTGAAAATTATTTTTTTAGGCATGCTTTAGAGCCTCAATACTCCATTTAACGATTAATCAATGATGATTGTTTCGATTAATCACAGTTAATCCATTAAATTGTTTCACTTCTACTTTTGACAATAGTTTATTTTCTCTTTCAGATCTAGATACCAAGGGTAAAGTGCTAAGGGTGCTGGGGTCAATTGTAAAGTTCATCGCCCTGCTGGGCCTCCTCTACGTGTTCATCTGTTCCCTCGACATCCTCAGCTCAGCCTTTCAGCTAGTTGGAGGTAAACACTTTTCTAACTGAGACCTTGCAGGTCATTGTTTGAGCTATTCTAAACAATACTGTAGCAGCTAAATAGATTTTAGTCTTAAATTCTAGTTTTCTAATAATTATTCGTAACAAAACTATCAAAGCAGTTGTCATCCTGATGTACAGTTATACCAAAGTAAAATATATATGCTACATGGTCCTTTGTTCATGTTGTCCAGGCAGAGCAGCAGGCGATATCTTTCAGGACAACTCGATTTTGTCTAATCCGCTGGCTGGTTTGGTCATCGGCGTCCTTGTCACTCTGCTTGTACAAAGCTCATCCACCTCTTCCTCTATAGTCGTCAGCATGGTCTCGTCGGGGAGTGAGTGCGAAGCGCACAACACAACATCATCACACAGCTAGCATGAACACACAGAGATGAAGATATTGAGATGTGACAAAAATACTGATATGGATCTGTGTTCTCTGACAGTCCTAAAAGTCCAGGTAGCTGTTCCCATCATCATGGGCACCAACATTGGCACATCGGTCACAAACACATTAGTTGCCATGACGCAAGCTGGTGACCGCAGCACCTTCCGCAGGTAATACTTTGACTGTTTTCCTGTGCTTATAGAAACAACATTGAAAATATACAAAAATAAAGGTACTGAGACCTTTTAATGGAGCATGTTATTTTAAATAAACTAATCTTTTTTGCATTATAGTTGGATGTGTGCATATATTATATAAAACTGTAACTGGAGCGTGTAACAAAAGTAATTTCCCTCTGGGATTATTAAAGTATTTCTGATTCTGATTTCCTAATCAGGCTTTACAAGAAGGTCCTTGATCAATTTCCCTTTAGGAGTCATGCAAAATATAAGGTGCTGATAAATAGAAAGACAGGCTTTATTTTACAGCGACAGTAAGACCTGGACAGGGGTGATCGATAGGAACGGCCTCCCTGATCTAAACCCGACCAGTGTTCTGTTATTGGTCTTCTGTGCAAATCACAGTTTGTCCATAAAGAACACCAGGTTGGAGCACAAGGATGTCCATAAGTGCACATGGCACCAGAACACACCGGAGGTTGATGATTTTGTACTTCGTAGTTGTGTAGGGTGACCACCTGCTAATAAGCTCAAGGGGGGACAAGGGGTATGTTTCTGAGGGACAAAGTGGGACACTGCTTGGTGCAGCGGTGCCCCCACCTCACGGGCAGAATCACTGATAGAGGTTTACACATTTCTAGCACATACCACCTTACATGGTATATTAATAATGCCCTATTCCCATAAACATGTGTAATTGCTGATGTATGCTCATGAATAGGCCAACCAATGTGTATTTATTTCAAAAAAAAAGATTCATAATACTTTGAACATTCAATGAACAGATGCACTTCCAATTCCGATTTACTTTAGCTATTCAATTTTATTTATTTTTTATTACAATTTATTCACTTTAAATAAATTATAATTTAAAATTAAAGGATTAACAGGAATTGTAGTTGCTCTACACCACAGGAACTGTAAAAAAAAAAAGGCTTAACTCACGACTCCAGAGGTTCACAGAACGAGAAGGGGGAGGAAGGATGGTGAACTTGGATGTTGGTAAAAGCAGGAACAGGAAAAAAAAAACTGTTCAGTGTTCTGGGGACACCTTTAGGACTCAAACCTTTTCACCAGCATCTGAATAAAATAAGAAAGAAAGATAAGAGACAGAATTAATTTATGATAAGCTTCCAAATGGTTTTCCAGTATAGACAGAGGAGTGCAAACCCATCACCATCACAATACAAAACCATACAAAAAGGTGCCAAAATACAATCCTATGGAAAACAATGACATATTTTGACCTAAAAGGCTACTGTTTCCTAAAAGTGACACATTTGCACCCCTGTAGACAGCCCACCAATGTTCTAGATCAATCAAACTTCATCTTAGACAAAGGTTTTTTACCTTCAGGTTTCTTCTTGAAGTTGGATTTCTTGTTGGAGCGTGCAGCATTGAGGAGAACCTTCTCTTTCACTACATAAGTGTAAAAGTAAAATAAAGCGCAGTTCCAACTGGTATTTTACGCGAGCGCGCTTTTTTTACGTCACTGCGCGTTCTGGCTGCATTCTTGGAAAATGTTTAGACCGGCCACTGATGATTCAAATCACAAAAAAGTGGTAGAAAGATGTTTAAAAATTGACTTCAAACATTTAATCTCATGAATTTGGGCTTTCACTGCCATCTGCTGTCATATGAGAGCAAGCACAACTTGACGACCATAAGCTTTTTCATATTTCTTGCATTGATTATGCGTGACACGGTCTCAATTTGCGGGACAAATGAATTGGGCTTCAAACGCTGTGCGCACACGCGCTACGCGGGACGGGTGGTCACCCTATAGTTGTGTCATCTGATCTCCAGTCACATGTCTTGGACTCTTTGGTGAAGAGAGGGGCTGAGCTTTCAGCCAAGGACCAGCTGGTGGTGAGCTGGATGTTCAGTTCTCAGAAACAAAACAGAACAGAAACTTAAAACTCTGTTAGCGGGGTCTTTAACTCCCTCCTCCATGATGAGTTTCTCCCAGATCTCAAAGGAAGTTGGAGACATGGAGTTGGGGTGATCAATGTTTTAATTCAGTTTATTTATATAGCGCCATTTCACAACACATGTCATCCCATTTTCACTTTACAGTTCACCAGATCATACAGTCAAATTGATTAAAAGTTTTCTATCTAAGGAAAACCAGTAGATTGTCGATGTGGTCATGTGTAGCTGTGGTCATAAGGTCTCTGATGCCTATCGTGGCGGCAATCCCAGAACCCAGTGGTGGTGCCTGGAAGTAAGTGATACCGTCAAGCTGAAGAAGGAGGCCTACCTGGCCTTGTTAGCTTTTGGGACTCAGGAGTCAGCTGAGAGGTACCAGCAGGCAGCTTTTGCTGTCAGAGAGGCAAAAACTCGGTCTGGAAGGAGTTTGGAGAGGCCATGGAGGAGGACTATTGGTCAGCCTCGAAAGTGTTGCGGCAAACTGTCCGCAGCCTTAGGAGGGGGAAGCAGTGCTTCATCAACATTGTTTTCAGAGTGGGTGTGGAGCTGCTGACCTCGACTAGGGATGTTGTCGGACGCTGGACAATGTACTTTGAGGATCTCCTCAATCCCATCATCATGTCTTCTGAGGAGGAGGCAGAGGCTGGGGACCTAGAAGCAGACTCGGCCATCAGTCAGGCTGAAGTCACCAAGGTAGTTAGATAGGTTCTCTGTAGCAAGGCCCCAGGGTTGGAAGAGATTAGTCCTGAGTACCTTAAGTCTCGGGATGTTGTAAGACTGTCTTGGCTGACACGTCTCTTGGCTGACACGTCGTGGTTGGGAACAGTACCCCTGGATTGGCAGACTGGGGTGGTGGTCCCTCTCTTTAAAAAGGGGGATCGGAGGCTGTGCTCCAATTACAGAGGGATCACACTCCCCAGCCTCCCCAGTAAGGTATAATCCAGGGTGCTGGAGAGGAGGATCCAGCGGATAGTTGAACCTCGGATCCAGGAGAAACAATTTGGTTTTGGTCCCGGTCACGGCACACTGGACCAGCTCTATATCCTTCATTAGGTACCTAAGGGTTCGTGGGAGTCCACATGTGTTTTATGCATTTGGAGAAGGCATTTGACCGTATCCCGCGTGTTGCCCTGTGGGTGGTGTTCTGGGAGTATGGGGTCTGGGGCCCTCTGTTAAGGGCTGTTTGGTCTCTGTATGACCGCAGCTGGAGCTTGGTTCGCATTGCCAGCAGTAAGTCAGACCTGTTCCCATTGCATGTTGGTCCCTGCCAGTACTGCCCTTTGTCACTGGTTCTGTTCATTACATTAATGGACAGATTTTGTAGGCAGAGACAGGGACTAAAGGGTGTCTGGTTTGAGAACATCAGGATATCATCTCTGCTGCTTGCAGATTATGTTGTCCTGTTGGCCTCATTGAACCAGGATGGGCGGGGGCACTAGGGCAGTTTGCAGGCAAGTTTGTAGTGGCTGGGATGAGGCTCAGCTCCTCCAAATCTGAGGCCATGATTCTCCACCAGAGGAAGGTGGACCCCCCTCTTCAGTTCAGTGGAGAGCCCTTGTCTCAAGAGAACGAGTTCAAGTATCTTAGGGTCTTGTTCATGAGTGAGGGACAGATGGATCGATAGATGGATCGGTGCGCCGTCGGCACCGATCAGCTATCAGTGACCACAGTGACATGGTTGCTGTATAGGACTGTCGTGGTGAAGAGGGAGCTGTGTGGGAAAGGCTCTCGATTTACAACCAAAATTAGTTCCCTTCGCAGGGTGGCTGGACACACCCTTCAAGATGGGTGAGGAGCTCAGTTACCCTGGAGGAGCTTGGAGTAGAGTTGTTGCTCCTCCTCCTTGAAAGGAGCCAACTGAGGTCTGGGCATATCTGCTTAGACTGCTGGCTCTGTAACCCGGCCCCGGATAAAGCGGAAGAAAATGGAATGGAATGGGGGAAAAAATTTAATATGCTGTTAATAAAGTTATTAACAACAAATTAAATTAGGATTAATGAGACAGATGAGCTCAAAGTTGCATAATCACGGCCTGAATAGAAACTAATAACCCTAATCACATTATTTTTAGCAGTAAAAGTCTTTTGAAGTATGCTTTACGATTCGACACTGAAATTCTTTACTGAAATGGTTCCAGCTCACTCACATTAAATTAAGATATGAGCTATTTATTATAGATTATCTTAGATTGATGTCTAGATCTATTTGAGCCATTATACTTTGATCTAATTTGTTCCATTGTAGCTCTGTACAGACCATGATGCTGCCAAACCAATGCCTTCACTATACTGTCCTCCAAGCCTTTCCAGAACAACTGAATTCATACTGAAATTCAACTGAAGCAATAATCTATAAAGTAAATCGATGAATCCTCAAGATCTGGCTGGCTTTGCATTGGATTTTATATAGGCACACCGAAGGATACCAAAATACAAATTTAGAGAACAGCTGCCAAATATTATACTATTATAAAGACTGTTAGTCTTTTTGTGTTTTATCTATTCCACAACAATACACTAACATTTTCAGTAGGGATTTAAGCAGAGATGGGGGACCTGGAGTCAACAAGTCATCTCTATTTCATATATATGTTATAAATCTGGTTTAGCCTGTGCTTACTGAACTCACCTGGTTTAGTGGCTGGGCAGAACCAATACATGACATAGAGATGATTTGTTGACTCCAGATCCCCCATCCCTGATTTTAAGACATTGTAAAAGTTCAAGAGGCATGATTTATAGCCATGTTTGCATCACTTGCAGAACCCTATTCACTAGAGGTAAAAAACTTTGAACCTTTGTCCAACCAAATATCTTATCAGCACCAAAAAATAATAAAATATATATACAGCTGATATGAACGTTTAACCTGGACCATTACTGTGAATAAAATGTTCTTGCTTGAAAAATGTGAGGATCAGATTTCTGAAACACCATAATTATTAATATTTTTATCCCCCTTCCATGCATAAAGGGCTTTTGCAGGGGCTACCGTGCACGACTTCTTTAACTGGCTCTCTGTGCTGGTGCTGCTGCCTCTGGAAGTAGCCTCTGGTTACTTGTACGTTGTGACCGAACTCATCATCGACTCCTTTCAGATCCAGAGTGGAGAAGCACCCGACCTATTAAACGTGATTACTGATGTCTTAACTGAAGCTATCATACAGGTAAGATGTGATAAACGTAATCTTAATTATTGATATTCTTATGATACCTTTTTTATTTGAATAGACTGTCAGAAGATAAGCATTCGGAAAAAATAAATCTAGGATGGGAAGAACCTGACCTTTGGGTTGTTCTGGTGCTACATATTGCTTTTCTGATTTTTATCTTCTTCCTTGTAATAGTGTCTCTTCTTTGAAATAAAAACATATAATGATGAGACATTTGATTAATGCTTGCAATAACTAGGATGTTGCTGATTCCATGTCCTCATCTTTATCAGGCTGATAAGAAGCCATTGTAAAATGCTCTTATCTTTGGCCTGTTTTCCTTTTCTCTTCCGTATTAGCTGGATGAGTCTGTTATTAGTGGACTTGCCACTGGAGACCCAGATGCCCAAAACAAAAGTATGATCAAGAAGTGGTGTAAAACCTACAGCAACACAGTAAGACACAAAGAGAGCAAAGTCAAATGTACAACAAATATCTGGCAGTGAGAGAGATTAAGAGCAAAACTGTGCATGTGTTTTAGACCTTACAGAATGTCACAGTTCCCGGTCCGGAGAACTGCACCTCTCCGTCTCTCTGCTGGATCGATGGCAACATTACTGTCACTCTAAAGAATGTGTCCGAAACATACAACATTCAGAAATGTAAGACGTACATGAAAATAAATCATCCTCATTTTACATTACGTTTAGCCTATTGAATTTCTCTTTGGAATTAACAAAGTATCATTTTAACTGCATTGAAAAAAATATATATAGATGACGTGTTTAAGGCAATTTGAGAAAAATATACCATGTATGGTTTTGTCAGTGAACCAATTTTCTGTTATGGACCAGGATCTTCAAAAATTTCGGCCCACTATTACCACACTTATATTTCCTAATAGTCCTTCACAAAGACATGTCCATACTGTGGCTGAATTACACATTTTGTTGATTAACTAAACTCTTGAATGCATGCAGAGTTTGTACTGAGGGGCCAAATGTGTTCCAAGAAGATGTCCACCGCATCATTACACCCTCACCATCATGTTTTCTTGATACAGACCATCCATACAATCATCTGTTTGATGCCAAATTCTGATCGTATTTCTGTAGCTGTTATGGAGATTCATTTGAACCGTACTTTAACTTTTTTTAAGGTTGAAATTTGCCTATAAAAGCTGTAGTCTCAGTTTCCTGTACCTCAGCTCTCAGGAATGACATCCAATGGGGCCCTCTGCTGCTGTAACCCATCTGCTTTCAATTTAACATGTCTGCAGATATGGTATTTCCTATATTTTTCTTATAATCAGTTGTCTGTTATTCTGCTGCCTTTTATTATATCAAACCATTTGACTCAGTCTCACTCAACCACTGAAAGGTGAGTGACGGCTGTGTGTAAAAACCACTGTCAATTAGCAGTTTTTGAATTCCTCAGATAAACTCACATTGAACCAAGAGCAATGCCATGTGCAAAGTCCTCCAAACCTAAATTAATGCAAACCTTACTTTTGGACATGTCTTACCACTCTTAAATGCAATCAACTGCTGCAATGTGGTTGGTTGATTAAACAGACTTACACTGTGTATATGCCATAATTATTATTTTAAATCTCAATTTGCACCCATATTTCTGTGTGGGTTTCTACAGGTAATCACATCTTTGTGAACGTGAACCTGTCTGATCTGGCTGTGGGTCTCATCTTGCTGGCGCTCTCTCTGCTGGTTCTGTGTTCCTGTCTGGTCTGCATTGTTAAATTGCTTAACTCTATGCTGAAGGGCCAAGTGGCTGCAGTCATCAAGAAATTCCTCAACACTGGTAAGCAGCCTCCCACTCTGCGTATCCAGTCAGTTAAATAAGTAAATAGGTTGGCGAAATAATATGTTGCATGTGTGCACAGATTTCCCCTTTCCATTCGGCTGGGTCACAGGATACATCGCCATTGTAGTTGGAGCTGGAATGACTTTCATTGTGCAGAGCAGTTCTGTGTTCACATCAGCCATTACTCCACTAGTTGGTGAGATCAAGAAATGTATAATGCAGACACAGAAAGAGGTCTGTTTTTGTAAAAAATAACCATTCTTTAATAATTAATTTTGTGAAATAGGTATTGGTGTCATCAGCATAGAGAGGGCATATCCACTATCTTTGGGCTCAAACATCGGCACCACCACCACTGCCATTCTGGCAGCCATGGCCAGCCCTGGAGACAGACTGGCTAATGCTCTACAGGTAGATAAATCAATCACAAAATGACCAGAGTTATTATTATTCTTGAATTGCTTCTGAAATTGTTTTTATGTTAATTATTTTTAATTCTGTCTCATGTAAAGTAGAACAAAGCTGTTGGTCATTTATATTTGTAGTGAAAATGTTGCTAAACCCATTTGAAAACATTTACTAATAACAATATACAATATCCATATAAATTTAACGCTAATGAGAAAGACTAACAAAGAACAGTTAGACTCATTATACTAGTAAAACGTCATTTTTTTAAACAAAGAAAAATTTTATATTTGTCTCTCACAATGTTTTTTAACAACTTCTTTTTTGCAATAAAAGCTACATCTAAAAATATACATCTTAAAATGATTAAACAAAGTAAAAACAGTGTACTGTCATGCAGAGACTGAGCAAAAGGTTTCAAAAGGAATTTTCCTTAAAAAATATATTTTTTTAGAAAAGTAGTGCAAATCTTCTCATTAATTGCAGATCATAGGTAACCTTTCAGGCCAGATCAGTAATGTGTAATGCTCAGGTTTAGTTCTGCAGATTATTATCTGAGTGTTATGATTTGCAGATTAGAGATGAATTTAAAGACTGGTTCTAACTGCCAGATGGTACATGCACATTTTTTTTGACTTAATATGATTCCTTATTCTTAAAAACTGTAGAAACATTTTTCAATCGAAGTAAGCAAAAGATATTCAACAAACCATTTCAATCATTTCCCCAGATTGCCCTTGTGCATTTCCTGTTCAACATCTCTGGAATCATTTTATGGTATCCGATCCCCTTCACTCGAATTCCCATCCGACTGGCCAAGGGTCTGGGGAACGTCACTGCCAACTACCGCTGGTTTGCTGCAGTATACATCATCTGCTGCTTTTTCCTGTTACCACTCTTCATATTCAGCCTGTCGCTTGCTGGTTGGAAGGTCCTTGTGGGTGTGGGCGTACCTTTAGTTGTCATGCTTATCATGGTCTTGGTGATCAATGCACTGCAGAAAAGGAAACCTGGATGGCTGCCTTCCGGACTGCGATCCTGGGACTTCCTCCCTCTCTGGGCCCACTCTCTGGATCCCTGGGATAAATTGGTCGGAGTGTTTATAGCCAAATGCTGCTGCTGTTGCAAATGCTGCCAAATTTCAAATGATAGTCAGGAACATGAAGAGCAAGAATCTGATGAACATTGTACAGAAATACATAAAGAGGTGTATGACAACCCAATGATGTCTGTAGATAAAGCTGTAGAGAATGAAACAAGGATAGAACTAGATAATATAAAACAAACACAACTTTGAGGGTTTATATTTATTGTATTTGTGTGTTTCTGTGTATGATTTATACTGGCCATGGCACACAAACTTAAAGAAATCTATCTATATTTATATGATTAAGTGAAGTTGGCATGTTTTTATGATGAGAAATAACAATGAACACAACCTGAAGTGCTGATGTTTATTCAATTGACTGAAGTATGAATCTATATTTGTGTTGTTATTAACTGATCCTCTGAAACAATGGATCCTGTCTCTGTCAGCATCCTGCTCTGTTTGCAACTTTTACCTCACTCATTTCTCTTTCAAATTGATTTATTCTTTCATTTAAGTTTGTTTGTATGAAGAACTACTGAGACATCAGTGTATTACGTAATATGTTTGAACAATCTGAGTTTGGAGAATTTAGAGAGTTTTTGGGGATAACTGCAAGCCAGAGGGTGGTCAGTTCCAAGGAAGATTTCTAATATTTTTTACAACAGTGTTTAGTAGTTGATGCTAATTAAATATCAACTTATACTTGTACTTTAGCTGATTATTTACTTAAAATCTCAAACTTATTTTCAGTAAGTTTCTTAGAAAATGGGTGCTACAAAAACAAATCTACCTGAAAGAAAAGTAGTACAATAAAAAAAAAATAGGACATTGTTAAAAAACATGAGTAGATACTTATGATGGATACTTACCATTAGCATGTTGTTGTTGTTTTTGTTTTTTTTGTGGCAGATATTTATAATGAGAACACATGTTGAGAAAAACACAAAGTTAAGTTTGCACATAATTAGCTTGAATCCTATTGAATTGTTACAAGTCATATCATAGCAGAAATTAAAAACAATAATAATACATTTTATTTGTAATGCACTTTATATTTAAATCAACATTTCAAAGTGCTGCATGATAGAAGAAGTGTTTAATGACAGAGAGCATAAACCACCACCATGTAAAGGTAACATATGGGAAGTCTAGCTGCGTGGCATCTTGCTAATTCTAGACTTGATGTATGTTATGAGTCATATATTTCTTTAGGAACACAGTAAGCTATGAGTATGTTTGGCAACAGATTGTGAAAACATTATTCTATCTTTCATAAACAAGTAAACCCCAATATTGGTGCAACATCTTATAGCTCTCCTCCAAAAAAAGCTGGTTGGGGTAGAATATTTGACAGTCAGGAAGGCTCCAGGTTCCTGAGAATAATTTGTAAGTAGGTCTGAAACTAAGAAAAGTCCACAATTACTGAGCACTAATTTAAGTTATTTGATTTTATAATCTGAAATACGCAAGCATCAGTTTAGGTATCTACAAATGCCTCATTCCAAATCATGCTAAACAATACGGATGAAAATATAAACCTTATCTTAGTAATCCGAAAATAAAAAATAAATCGATTGACTATGATCTTGTTACAGCTGTTACAGTAACAAAATGGATGTAAACAATTATTATGCTTTAGAAAATGATTCTTATGTGAAAAGGTTAAACAATAAAAACTCACAGTGTCACTCCATAATTCGCTAACTCAAGAGCTTGGAAAAATTCCCTTACCGTATTTTCACGACTATAAGGCGCACTTAAACGTCTTTTTTTTTCCTCAAAATGTGCGGTGCGCCCTATGGTGCGGTGCGCCTTATGTGTGTTGTAACTGCGACTTTTGAACCACCTCATTGAGGAGATGATGAAAGAGTGGCTGAATGTAAGGAGACCAGGTGTTTTTTTTCCACCCCTCACCATCGCTGTTAATATGTAACTCCATGCGTGCCCATCTCACAGCTGATGTGAAAAACATGGGGAAACAAATTAACGCTGCTCGACATCGGTGTGAACCGGACCCAGCAGGTGCAGCAGAAGCAGCGTGTTTACATGCAAAGTCAATGGTTGACGCGCATATAGGTGCAGCAAAAGGTCCCGCAGCGCATTTTGGTGCAGCACGTCGGGAGCGTTTAAGCATCTGAAGCGCCGCCAACGCGCTTCTGCTGCTCGAGATGGAAAAATTGAAGTTTTGCTGCTGGACGCGCCGCATCAACCAATCAGAGAAGCTGATCTGGGAGCTGCCAGCGAGACAGACAGCGCTCTGATGACATGATATTAACGCAAATGGAAAAGGCTGGATGGATGCGTGGCTGAGGCAGGTGTATGTGAGAAGACTAGGTGGTTTTTTCCACGCATCACCATCGCTGCGTGCCCATCTCACAGCCGATGTGAAAAAAAGGTGAATCAAATGAACGCTGTGCTCGCCGTTATCCCGGGGGTCTGACAAAGGAACTTCCACCGCTCGACATCGGTGTGAAGCGGCCGTTCGAAGTAAGGCTGCGAGCGGCGTGGGAGCGATGGATGACCGACGGAGACCACAGTTTCAGGATAAGAAGGCAGCGCCGGGCAGATTACGCCACAGTTTGCGGATGGATTGTAGATGCTTGGACTAAAGTGTCTGCTGGCTCTGTTGTTCAAGCTTTTGCAAAAGCCGGCATTATTTCTGAGGAGCCGCGCTGCACGGAAAGTGACTCTGACAGCGAAGAAGGGGAAACTGGCATGTCTGATTTAGCGCAGCTGTTTTATTCAGAAACAGAGGATGATGACTTTGATGGGTTTGATTAATACTTTGTAATAAATACATGAATAAAGCACAATCATACTCAGTTTTGCTCCCGCTGTATTTTTCTCCCTGAAAACTTAATTCAACAGCAGCCTCTGGGCGGGTCTCCTCCTCTTCAGCGCGGTGGCTGGCAGGTGTTTTTTCATCTAAATAATCTAAATCTTGCAGCTATATTTGCTGTGATCAGTGGGAATAAAGTAGTTTTAATATGTTTTTAAGTGAGAAAGTCCACCTGAAAACTTCATAATTGCAGTCAGTTCATCCAGATTATCTATTTCTGTCGGAGGCGCTCAGACCCCCACATACCAGCGGTGCGCTGACAGTAGAAATCTCTTCATCAGCAGCCTGTAGGCTGGGCAGCCTGGGGTTCACCGCGGCTGCTGGCAGGTGTTTTTCATCTAAATAATTTTAGCTGCAGGCACCAGGATACCGGCAATAAAAGCGAACATATTCCGTCAGCAGGTTTCAGGATTTTAAGTTAATTTAGGAGTGACCACAGCGCTGTGTCATCTGCGATGTGTCTGTCTCACGGCCAGCTGCCAGGTTTGATTAATACTTTGTAATAAATACATGAATAAAGCACAGTCATACTCAGTTTTGCCCCCGCTGTATTTTTAAATACGCAGTAGAGGTATTTAAAGGTAGTAGAGGACTTGTACCTGTATATAAAAAACGCGCCCTATAGTCCGGTGCGCCTTATGTGTGTGTTAAATACAGAAATGGGACACATAACTGAGAGTGCGCCTTTTAGTCCGGTGCGCCTTATGGTCGTGAAAATACGGTACCCTTGAAACTCTGCTGGAACTGAGGTTATCTGAAAGATAAGATTGCAATATAATCAGGATATTAGCAGGCTTCCTCATGCTTTATATGTGCATGCCTGAACACTAGTCTGCATATCCTGTAAGCAGGCTAGCATACAAGACTATGGAAATAAAAAGGGAAAGCTGAAAACAGACATTTCCTTGTATTTACTAACTAACCAGGGTTAGTTCTGCGGCACAGCTAGAGCTGCTATAAGAAATTAAAAACTGTGAGCCTTAGCTTTAAATTGTTTATTTAAATCTATATAAACGCAGAAATATGTTTCATTATGTCACTGATACCATAAAGCAACAGCATAGCCTATCTCAGATCAAAATTAGTTTATGGTTTAGAAATCTGGAAACTTTCCTTAAAGCTGCAGTCTGTAACATTGAGAAGAGAGAAGACTTCGACTGAAAATTTGAAGAAAAACAGGTTTCACTCCACTCCCCCACCCTCTCTGCTTCACTCATGCCCCACCTCCAAGCTCCACCCCTCTCACAGCATCTGCGCGGCTACCGCATGCGACCAGAAGGGGGGGGGGGGGGGGGGGGGGGGGGGGGGGGATTCAGCGTGTGTGAGCTGTGATTGACACTCCATCAGACGCTCCTCTGGCTGTGATTGGTTGTTTTGACTCGTCCCGAATTATTCTTTCCAGATTGAAATACAGGCAGTAGGCGGGACCAATTGAAGCAGTTTTTTTCACAGGTTACATATCACATGTACTGCTGTCTGGGCATAGGGACAGTTTTAGCCAATATGACAAAAAAGTGATTTTTAAAAACTTACAGACTTCAGCTTTAAGTAATGAAGTAATACATGGTATCTTTTGGGATTTTGCACTTATTTGGCAGATGCCTAATTATAATTGGGAGAAGCTTCCTGAAACTAATCTACATGGTGATGAATGCAAGAAGAAAAACAAATTGTGTCATGAACTGTATCTAAATGCAGGATATACAGTGTATGGAGGTAGAACAAACTCTGCAAAAGAACCAACAGCTAGGTACGAAACTGCAAAGTTTTAATTTACATGTCAAGTCTTTCTCTATGTTTTATATTATTTGTAGTTAACTATGGAAAAGTGATGCTGAGAGATAATTAACTCACTGATCAAGTCGATGATTGGCTTTTAAGATTATAAGACATCTCTAGAGATATAACCTAAAAAAAATGATTGATTGAGGAGATTCAAGAAATGTCTCATCATTAAAGCATGTCCTGAACAACATGTTTCACTGCGCCTGTGTTATTACTCTGTTAACAGTTATCTGCAGTTTTTCACTTAGCAAGAAAAGGGGTTGTAAGTTATAATTACATTTAATGAACACTTGACATTAAGAAGAAATTAAGCCACGGATCGATATATTTAATAATCCTTATCCTTTTCTTTATGTTTATCTGGCTACATTTTTACAGTTTGTGTATTATCTCTTCAAAGAAGATCTTTCTGCAGTTAGTTTAAAGATTTAGAGCTATATTTGTGTATTTTTTGGGAAGTTTGAGTGTGTGTGGGGGTAGTGGTGAGTGGATCAAGGAAAATCCCACTGCTGGCCTCCCAGGGAGACATGTACGATTATGATTTAAGCAATCAATAAGTCAACATTGATTGCATTCTGATGTGCATGACGCAGCAACCACAAAAGCACCGGCTCAATCAGAGAACTGACTCCTGCACAATAAAATGTGCCAAATGGACACATTTACTTATCTAAGCATTTTAAAATGTTGATAAGTTAGTGTTCAAGAGCTTCTTAATGACTAACATTATCTATGAATGTATTTTATGTTGTTGCTTATTTCTAAGAAACATTACCTTCATGAACAAAGGTTGAAAATGTGGATCATGGTAGAAAAACCCTGTTGTAGAAAATGTTCTCCCTCCTCAGCCATTTCCAGGAAATACAGGGCTGGAAAAATACAACTGCTGGAATATTATAACTATTCCCTTTGAGTTATTAGACTAAAGATATTGTAGTTTAAGGAATGCCTCTTTAATATGTTTAAATTACTGCTTTTTATCATCAACCCAAAATGTGGCGCCTGTCTTCAATTTTGCACAAAAAAAAAATTAACCTGCTGCTTTCCCAGTTTTAAAAAAAGAAATTATTTTTTCAAGCCAA